TTTAGGCATCTGTTTCATTTTCTGACTATCTCTATGAGTGTCCATGTCTCCCAATTTTCATCTACCATTTATATGTTGTCACATGCTTTTTTTTATCCTATTAGAATGTAAACTCCTTGTTAGTAAAGATTGTCTTAGTTTTTGTTATTGTTCTTTGTTTGTTTATTTGTTTTTCTGAGCACTTAGCACAGTGCCTGAAACACAACTGCTCACTCATTGTCTATCTGTCAATCAATCAATCGCACTATCTAAATCTGTGCTACTTAAAAACCTTACCTTTATTCAAGTCTCACCTTACTTTATACCTCCTCTCTTTTTAAGATTTTCCAGCTTGTTCATGTTTGATTTCTCTCAACAACTGTCTCTCTCTCTCTCTCTCTCTCTCTCTCTCTCTCTCTCTCTCTCTCTCTCTCTCTTATTCTCTATATATTCCCTCTCTATCTGCCTTTATTTTTCTCTGTCTGGTCTGTCTTTTTCCTGTTTCTCTCTATCTCCCTTTTCTTTTTCCTCTTCTTTTTTCTGCTCTGCTCTCCTCTTCCTCTCCTTTCTCTTCCCTCCCCTTCTCTGTCTATCTGTCTGTCTGTCTCCCTATCTCTCTCTCTCTCTCTGTCATTGTTTTATCTTATAAATACACATTGTCAGGGGCAATTTTTCATCTTTTTATTTGCATCCTTGTTACCTAGAAGAGTAATTTGTACACAGGGTATCTTAAGTATCAGTTCTTGTATGTTTTTGTTTGTTTGTTTGTAGGATAGACTATTAATGCCAATACAGATGAGCCAAGCTAGGCAAAACAATATTATGAAATATTATGAAAGAGGTGAGATGTGGATGAGGAGTCATACCACCACCATCACTTCAAATACCAGTGTACATAAGACCCCTGTGTTCAGAACCCAGGATGCTGAACCCAAGAATTTTAGAAATAGCAGTCCCTCTCAGATATCTTGTTTTTTTTGCATTCTAATCTCCAGCACTTACTACAGTGCCTGAAACACAGGAGGCACTTAATAAATGTTTATTAACAACCTAGCTATGACAGCCATTATCCACAAAGCAACCTACCTCACAGGACTATTTTGAGAATCAAATGAAATATATTTTTTAAAGCATTTAGTACAGTGTCTGCCACAGAGTAGACTTTATGTAAATGCTGATTGCTTTTCCTTCCCCTACTTTAAGGTTTGGAAGTGGCTTTACACATATTAGCTAAAGTGACTCTCAAAGTAATCCTTGGAGGTAGCTGCTATTATTATTCCCATTTTAGTGATAAAGAAATTGAGGCCCATTGTGATTAAATAACTAGCCCAGAGGGAAAGTAAACAGCTGAGTCAGTGTCCAAAGCCAAGTCTCTTAGATGTCAAGAAACTAAAATGATGATAATAAAAATGGAAAGGATATACTGGGATTTTCTATAGAAATTACTTTTCACTATGAATTAATAAACAATTATTAAGTACCCACTGTGTTCCAGGTATGAGAAAGTAGCTAGATAAATATGAATATACACATGTGTGGTTACATATACATATATGTGTGTATTTAAATTTACACTATTATATACATATGTATGTGTGTATAAATGTAGTCATTATTTTTAAGTAACTTATATACAAGGAAACACTATACACATACATAATAAATACAAAAAAGTTTCAAGGTAATTTGACAACAAAGTGCTAAAAAAAAATTTAAGGATATGGAAAGATATCATGTAGGAAGTGGCTTTTCAGCTCACCTTGAAAGAAACTATGGATTTTAAGAGATTGAGCTGAGGAATGAGTGTATTCTAGACATTAGGGGAAACACCCACCACAGTGGTGTGAGGGGGAATGTCAGTTATGAGAAATAGAAGATTGATTTGATTTTACTATAAATGCTTGTGGATTGATCAAAATTTCATTCAAAAGACAAAAAGCAGAAAACATTTAAAGTGCATGTGTGTGTGTGTGTGTATACACACATTTTAGACAGAATATTCTATGACCCTATCCTATGTATGTAAATTTGTGTTTATGTGTATGAACAAAATGCATGAATGGAAATGTATACAAGGCTGGGAGAACAACTAGGAGGCAATTTCCTTATTTGCCTCCAAGGGTTTAATAGGTTTAATGCTTACTAATGCTAGAAAGATTCCTTGGAGCCAAGTCTTAAGAAAAATCTTAAATACAAAGAAGAGGAATGTGTATTTTATTCTGAAGAGTCAGCTGCAGAAACTTTTTGAGCAGGAGAATTATTAGATGCTTAGAAATGCTTTAATAATATCACTTTGGCAATATGAGTGGAGAGTGGACTGCACAGGGGAGATACTTCAGGTAGGATGATCAATTAGAAGCCTATTGTAATAATCTAATCAATAGGTAACAAAGGCTCAAATTCAGGTGTCTCTCTGAGTCAATATGAGGAGAGATCTACTGCCAACATAATTTCAAAATGGTTAAGCAATGGATGAGAAATCACTGGTGAAGGAAAATAAGAGGTAAAGGAGAACTTGGAGTTTAAGAATCTGAATGATTGTAAAGATGGTGTTGCCCTCTAAGAACTATAGAAGCTAAGAATAGGGCCAGATTTGAGTGGAGATACTAATGAGTCTTATTTTATAAATGTTGAGTTTGAAATGTCTCTGGCAGTGCTCACTTTGGCAGCATATATACTGACACTGGAATGATAGAGAGAAGATTAGTGTGGGCCCTGGGCAAAGATGACATGAAAATTCTTGGGGCAGGTAGGTGGTGCAGTGGATAGAGCACCGGCCCTGAAGTCAGGAGGACCTGAGTTCAAATTCAGTCTCAGACCAAACACTTGATACTTACTAGTTGTGTGACCCTGGGCAAGTCACTTAACCCCAATTGCTTAAAAAAAAGGGATGACATGAAAATTTGAGAAGCATTCATATTTTTACTTAGAGAAAACCTTAGTGTGGCACTAAGACATCTGAATTGTAAATGGAAGTAAGTCTAAGGTGGTCCCATAGCTCGAGTAACTACCCATGTGGGAGTGGAGAATGTGAGGGAAAGAACTGAGGGAGTTACGAAGAATAACATAATGGGAGAAAGAAAAAGATATCCCAGAATCCAGAATCCAAATGAGTGGAAAGGTAGAACAATGAAAAGAAGAGTGGGGAAGAAGAGAGAGAGAAAATGGGACATGTGAACCTTCTCATCACTATTATTTAATATTCTTCCAGAAATATGCTATAACAATAAGTAAAGAGAACAAAATTAACAGTACACATTAGCAAAGAAAATACAGAATTGTCTCTATGTACAGGTAACATGATAATGTACTAAGAAAACCCCAGAGAATCAGTGAAAAAACTAATTGATAATAAGAACATAGCTATAGATCTGGAAAGGACTTTGGATATCATCTAGTCCAACCTCCTGATTTGACAGATGAAAAAGTTAGGCTCACTGACATTAAGAGATTTGCCCAAGTTCATACAGATAGAATTTAAACCAAGGTAATCTGACTCCAAATCCAATACTCTTTCTATTGCACCATCAATAAGGTAGCAGGACACAAAATTTATCCCTATGCAAATCATGTGTTTCTGTAAAGTACAAACAAAAACCAGGAAGAATACATGAAAAAAAGATCCATGTATCCAACTTTGGTCTGTTTCTTGAGCTTTTACCCTGCACCACCAACTGGCTGTTGGACATTTAAATCTGGATATCACTTAGGCATTTCAAATTCAGCATGTAATGATAAGCCACTGTACTAGAAGTCAGGATGATCTGGATTCAATTTGTTTTTATTTTTTTTCTCAAACAGAACTCTGGACAAGTCATTTAATCTCCCTATGCCAAAGTTTCCTTATCTGTAAAATGACAGGGATGGACTCTAGTGTCTGTACCTGCTCTGAGTTTGCAGAATTCATTAATGCCCCTCCCTACTACCCACTCCTTTTTCCACAATAACCTTTTTCTTGATGAAACCACTATTCTTCCAGACACCCAGGTTAGCAACCTTGGGGCCATACTTAGTTCTTCATTATTCTTCATCATTTATATACAATCAGTTACCAAGTCTTATTGATTCTATTCCCACAGCATCTCTCTCACATTCTTCCCGTCTTCTCCATTCATATGTCTACCACTCTAATTCAAGCCCTTATCACCTCTCACTTTGACAAGAGAAATTGCCTCCAAGTTGTTCTTTCAGCCTTTTATATGTTTTTGTTCATGCATATGTGTGTAAGTATGAATGTATATACATGTATATATGTATGTATACATATGCACACATATTTATATACATAGCATAGAATCTTAGAATATTATGTCTAAAATGTATGTGTGTATACACACACACTTGCACTTTAAATATTTTCTGCTTTTTATTTTTTGAATGAAATTTTGATCAATCCACAAGCATTTATTAAACACTTGATTTGTCCCAGGCCCTGTTGTCAGTGCTGGAGATGAGATAACAAGAGTGAAACAGTAACTGCCTTTACAGATCTTATATTCTATCCAAAATTTCCATGAGTAGAGATAGAATATAAGGGTCTTGGGAGCATGTACTGTTTCACTTTTTTTTGTATACCCAGTATTTAGCACTGAGTCTGGTACTTAATGTATTTCTATGGTTTGATCAAATTCTGTTCAAAATAGCAACATGCAAAAAACATCTTGGAGTTAACCTAGCAAGATGCACACAAGATTTCTATAAATACAACATTATTTTCTTTTACAAAAATAGATATAAAAGTCTGGAGAGAGGTTAAAATAACAATGCTTCTTTAATTTATTGGTTTAGTGTTATGACAACTGAGTTACAAAGGAAATATTTTATAGAATCAATTAAAATTATAAAATTCATTTGGATAATCAAAAAAGTCCTTTCTCCAGGAAAATAATAGGAAAAGGTATAAATAAAAGGCATTACCAGACCACAAACTTTTTCATAAACCAGTAGACATCAAATCTCTTTGGTAGTGGTTAAAACAGAACAGCCAAGATAAAGAATAGACAGAAACATTTGAAAACAGTATCCGACTCTTGGATAAACCAAATAATATAATTTATAAGGGGAGAGATTCCCTTTTTGACAAGTTGAGCTATGAAAACTAGAAAGTGGATTGGTAGAAATTGAGTTACCAATCTCCTACCATGCACCATGGTAAGCTCAAAATGCATTAGCTGAACTAAATATAATTCACAGAATAAAAATAATTAGATGAGAACAAGATCACATACCTTTCATAGCTATGAGTGGGAGAAATTTTTTTAATAAGTGAAAGGATTATAAAACATAAAACAGACAATTGTAAAAAAATATTTTTAATATTCATTTTTATAAGATTTTGAGTTGTGTATTTCCCCTCTCCTCTCCCCAAGATGGTATGCGATCTAATATGGGCTCTAATATATGATCATATTAAACATATTTCCACATTAATCATGTTGTGAAAGATGAATAAGAATAAAAGGGAAAAACCAAGAGAAAGAAAACAACAACAACAACAAAAGAAAATAGTTTGCTTTGATCTGCATTCACACTCCTTAGTTCTTTCTCTGAATGTGGATAGCATTTTCCATCATCAGTTTTTTGGAACTGTCTTAGATCACTGCATTGTTCAGAAGAGCTAAGTCTAACAAAGTCAGAAGTCACATAATGTAACATGTTCTCCTGCTTCTGCTCACTTCACTCAGCATCAGTTCATACAAGTCTTTCCAGGTAAAACAGAGAATATTGACCATATAGTTCATCCCCACTCTCTTCTTCTGCAATCTTCTGGAAAATGAATTCTACTTCTGCAACTCCCCTTGACTTTGATAGGCCAGCTCTGACCTTGTTTTTCTCTGTCCCAGGCCTACACAACACTTCTCACACATATTTACTTTTACATGTTCCTTTAAAACCCTTACTAAAATATAAGATCCTTGAGGGGGAAAAAATGTCTCTGATATCCAGTCAGAATTTTACAATAGTTGATATAGGACTTGACCTCATGAGAATTATTAGAGTTGGAAATAAACATCTAGTGGGCATCTTCCAAGAACCTTGTTTGAACACTCACAAGAGGCATAATATGGATGATGATCCAATGAAGATTGCAAAGGAATAATTAAACAAATAAGAGGAGAACATAGAATATACTCTTAAGGAAAACAAAAAAAATAGGGAGAGTATCTATAAAAGATATTTATCAGCATTGTAAAATTCCTCAAAGGTGAAAAAAAACAATCATGAATCTACCACATTTGCACCATAATATCATAGTTCAATATGTCTCCATAGAGAAAATAGAAATAACACTGAAAACATCAAAGATGAACAACCTAACTAGAAAACGTCTACGCTGAGGAAGTTCATACTGCATCTGACATAATTTTGTGCATTTTGAGATATAAGTCTCAAGAAATGTGAAAACTGGGAAGATAGCAGAGTCATGGTCAGGGTAGTGGGGAGCAACATCCAATATTATTAACCAGAAAAAAAGTTTGCTAAAAGTACTATCAATAGTATCAATAACTACCAACACAAATATCTACTTTTTCACCAATGTAAATTTTTACAAGAATCTTTTGCCCATGAACTGAAGCTATCCTTGAATGTATTAAAAACATCGGTAAACTTTTATGAGTAGTATTTGATAGTGGACAATAATTGATTGAAATACGTAAGAAAATTATATATATATATATATCCTTCTTCCTCTCTCTCTTTTTTTTCTTTTTTTACCTTGCCCTTCCTCAAAAGTCTGTTTTGCTTCTGACTACTGCCTCTTTAGTATACCTTCCCTCTTATTACCTACCCCTTTTCATTATCCCCTTCTCCTCTTAATTCCTTTTTGGTGATATAGATTTCTATACCCAACTGAATGTGTGTGTGTGTGTGTGTGTGTGTGTGTGTGTGTAAAATCTTTCCACTTAGAATCCATTCAGATGAGAATGAGGTTCAAGCATTACCCATCCTTCCACTTAATCATTCACTGTGAAAGCTTTTCCTTCTATGTCTCTTTTTATATGAGATAATTTCCCACATTCTTCCTCTCCCTTCCTCCAGTATATCCCTCTTCCTCAATCCTCCATTTTTTGAGATCAAGTTAACATGATGGACACATATGTTATCTATGTAGACTACTTCTGACTGTCCTAATAATGATAACATTCTTAGAGTTATATGTATCATCTCTCCATATAGGAATGTAAACTGTTTAACTTTATTAAGTCCCTTATGATTCCTCTTTCAATTTATCTCTCTATGTTTCTTTGGAATCATTGAAGGCTAAATTTTCTATTTATTTCTTTGTTTTTCATCAAGAATGTTTGAAAGTCCTCTCTTTTCTTAAATGTCTATTCCCCCCCCCCCCAAAGGATAGGACTCTGCTGGGTGGGTTATCCTCAGTTGAAATCCACATTAATTTACCTTCTGCAATATCATATTCTAAGCCCTTTGCCCCTTTAATGTGGTATCTCCTAAATCTTATGTGATCTTGACTAGGGTTTAGTAATTTTTGAGTGGTTTCTTTCTGGCTGTTGGCAGTATTTTCTCTTTGAACTGGGAACTCTGGAATTTGGCTGCAATAATCCTGAGAGTTTTCATTTTGGGATCTCTTTCAGGAGGTAGTGGAAGGATTATTCCAATTTCAATTCTACCCTCTGGTTTTAACATATCAGCATAGGTTTCCTTTATAATTTATTTAAATAAATATCAAGAATCTTTCTTATCATATATTTCAGGTAGTCCAATAATTCTTAAATTATCTCTTTGTAATTTATTTT